TGCCTCCGCTAGAGACGGATCTCTCTCTCATAGTCACCACCATGATCTGTATCCTCGGCTCTGTCTTACTCTTCCTATTTCTCGTCGTCTTCCTCTACCTTCACATCACGCAATTACGGCGGAGCTCAGCCGCTGAAGTATCTCCCGGTGTCACAAACCGAGGAGAAGAAGACGAGGACGAAACGGAAGAGAGAGATTTCTCCGGCGACCATCACGTTTGGAGAGTCAACACTTCCGGTCTCCACCGTTCAGTGATCGACTCGATGACAGTCGTCGGATTCAAAAAGGGAGAAAGGATAATCGAAGGCACGGAATGCTCTGTTTGCTTAAACGAATTTGAAGAAGACGAATCGCTGAGATTGTTACCAAAGTGTAGCCACGCCTTTCACATAAATTGTATCGACACTTGGTTGCTTTCTCATAAGAACTGTCCTTTATGTCGTGCACCTGTATTTCTCACTCACCAAGAAACAGAGACGAATCACCAATCATCAGAGTCTAGATCGAGCAACGACCCTCTTGGAGAAGAGGAGAGTTCGGAAACTAGAAACGTTAATGTTCTTTCGAGGGCACGTAGCGATTTGGCAAACCATTGTGGTGGCTCGGGAAGTGTAGAAACTGAGAGAAGATCGTTTTCGATTGGAGGAAGCTCGTCACTTAAAGCTGAGCAGAGTGATGATAGAAGTAGAAGACATTTCTATAGCAGTTTCAGTGCTAACTTCTTCTCGTCATCAACAAGATCAAGGAACCAAGACCAGGTTCTTCCAACACGAATGCCTTCTGCGTCTGGTTAGACCGTTTAAATGGTGACTACAAGAACAAGCTCGAGTAATGTAATGCCTTGTGTGTTATTATTATATACATATTAAGTAGTATCTCAATAATATTAAGAACAAGCTAAACGATTTCATTTCAAGATAGTTGAGCAAATAAGATAATAATAGTTTTAAACAAGAGAGACTCTCTGGGTAATTTCGTCGAACACCTTCAAGACTTATCTAAACAAAAGCTAAAACCCTTACAATCGGAAGTTAAAAACGAGCCAAGCTCTTCACTTAAACAAACCCATTAACTAAAAAAGCAAATCTAAAACCCAGAATTTAAAGTGCCCATTAACGAGCTAGTCTTCAAGCACGTTCTCCACGAATCCTCCTCGCAAGCTGAATATCCTTAGGCATGATTGTGACCCTCTTCGCATGAATCGCGCAAAGGTTAGTATCCTCGAACAGACCAACCAGATAAGCCTCAGCTGCTTCCTGAAGAGCCGCAACAGCACTGCTCTGGAACCTCAGATCTGTCTTGAAATCCTGAGCAATCTCACGAACCAGACGCTGGAAAGGAAGCTTACGGATCAAAAGCTCAGTACTCTTCTGATACTTCCTGATCTCTCTCAACGCGACGGTTCCTGGACGGAATCTGTGCGGCTTCTTGACTCCACCGGTGGCCGGAGCTGATTTCCTCGCCGCCTTAGTCGCAAGTTGCTTCCTTGGTGCTTTCCCTCCGGTGGATTTCCTAGCGGTTTGCTTAGTACGAGCCATTTCGAAATTAGAAAGCTAAACAAGATTGGAACTTTTCTTCTTCTTCTCGAGAATGTGAATATGAAATTTGTTGATGAAGAATGTAGAAAGAGGTGAGTTTGGTTTTATGGGAAGAGAAAGTGGCGGTGAAGTGATAATAAATTTAGAGGGATTTTCCTGAAAATTTTGGTTTGGAGGGAAAGTTATCCGTTGGATTAAACATCAATCGACGGTGGAGAGTTCAAATCCGTGTGATTTGTATATGAACCAATTAAAACAGTCCTTTTAGACATGTCATCTATCCGTGTGGTCTATTATTAACCAATTAAATTTATTATTTTCAGTCCACTTAGGATTTTGCGCCTACATCCAAAATATTTCAAAAAAAAATTAGCGCCATTCGAAAATTAGAAACATTTTTACTTGAGAGGGTAACTTTTATCTCGATATATTTACTCTTCAGATTCAGAACATTACGGCATGATTATGGGTAGGTAATCGGGGATTATTAGAAGGTTTTTAAAATATAAAATTATTAAAATTTGAGTAAAAAGAAGAAAGAGAGTGTTTTTTTGTTGAAATAGTGGGGTGTATTGAAATATAAAATTAATAAAATTTGAGTAAAAAGAGGAGATAGTGGAGAGAGGGTATGTTTAAGTTGTATGTTAAGAAACTTTTGGAGAGGGTTTTTAAGTGTGTTTAAATATAAAATTAATAAAAATTGAGTAAAATGATGAAAGAGAATGTATAAAGTTGAGTAAAAGAAAGAGAGAGTGTATGTTTTAATAATTTTATATTTTAAAAAACTCCCTAATAACCTCCAATTACCCATCTATAATCATGCCCTTAGAGCATGTACATTGGTGAGTCTCTTAAATAGGATATCTAACTTATATAATAACAATATAATTTTAACTATCTAAAAATAATTAAATTATAAAATTCAACCAATTAATAAGCACATGTGTAAGAGGAGTTCTAAAATCTCTCAATCGAGAATCTATTCTAATCCTCTTTCTTTTTTTCTATTTTTTTTAATTTATTTAATGGTTAGAATCCTCCTTACAACTTTCCAATGGACATGGTCTTACGATCGCGTTTTCATTCAGTAATTTTATGAATTATTTGAGATTTTAAGAGAAACCAGTTCAAATCAAATGCATAAGGAAAATAATTCGATTTCTGATTGTGACGAAATAACCATAAGGTCCATAACCATGAACAAAAGCAAAACATTCTCCAATTTTATTTTATTTTGTCTTTGCTTTCCATGAAACAAAGGAAACATTTTGGTTATTTTTGTAAGCTTGCTACGTTTGCGATTTAACCAAGTTCCATTAGAAATTGGTCCTCACAAGACGAAATCAATGGATTAACGTTTCATTTGGGCATTTTATCGAACAACTGGAAGACAATTATAAGTAGGGCATAAGACTGCAGATTTTAACAGATTCGTTCTTGTACTTATAAATGGCCAAAATCAATAAGATAAAAATAACAGTAGATTGATATTCATTGGAGAATTTCATCGAACAACTGATAGGCAAATCTAACCAACACTCAGAAACCGAATCTAAAACGTGACAGATTAAAAAGCGATTTACATAATCGATAAAAGCAAATCCATAACTAGAGACTAATAATCTTCATCGTCTTTCTCTCGTCACTTAAGCTCTCTCACCTCTGATTCTCCTCGCAAGCTGAATATCCTTAGGCATGATTGTAACCCTCTTCGCGTGAATCGCACAAAGATTAGTGTCCTCGAACAGACCAACCAAATAAGCTTCAGCCGCCTCTTGAAGAGCTGCAACGGCACTGCTCTGGAACCTCAGATCCGTCTTGAAATCCTGAGCGATCTCACGAACCAGACGCTGGAAAGGAAGCTTACGGATCAAAAGCTCAGTGCTTTTCTGATACTTCCTGATCTCTCTCAAAGCCACGGTTCCTGGACGGAATCTGTGTGGTTTCTTCACTCCTCCGGTGGCCGGAGCTGATTTCCTCGCCGCCTTTGTCGCGAGTTGCTTCCTCGGTGCCTTTCCTCCGGTGGATTTTCTAGCGGTTTGCTTGGTACGAGCCATTTTGAGAAATTTCTAAAGATTGAAAGTTAAACTCCCT